CCCCTGCCGCAGAACCCTGCCCCCACTGGCCCCCTGCCGCAGAACCCTGCCCCCACTGGCCCCCTGCCGCAGAACCCACTAGCACCCTTCCCCAGTACCATGTCCCCTGTTCCCACTAGCACAGTTGGGGCCACATTAGTGAGGCTTGGGGGGAGGAGGGTTTTTTTTTGGCATCTCACTTGTGAGACCCCAACTGACTTTTCTGTGGATCAGTGAACCCTGACTCAAAACAGGTTCCCTGACCTTCTCAGACCACTGGCCCCCTGCCGCAGAACCCACTAGCACCCTTCCCCAGTACCATGTCCCCTGTTCCCACTAGCACAGTTGGGGCCACATTAGTGAGGCTTGGGGGGAGGAGGGTTTTTTTTTGGCATCTCACTTGTGAGACCCCAACTGACTTTTCTGTGGATCAGTGAACCCTGACTCAAAACAGGTTCCCTGACCTTCTCAGAAATAAAGACAATGCAGAAACTTTGTGTGTTCGACACAGTATTCTACTTAAAAAATGAAGCCTGGCCAACAAACCCCCAATTGGGGCCAAGCCCCCATCTGGCCACAGCATCAGAACACTCCTGCACTCCCCCTTCCCCTAGATCTGAGCCTGGAACCCCCTGCCCTGAGCCCCTCACAGACCCCAATCCAAATTCCTGTACCCTCACATCCACAAGCCTGTGGCTTTTTCTGACCCCAACACTGCCTGGCCCGGAGTCCCCTCCCCGAGCCAACATCCCCTTCTCCACCTCTTCCTGCATCCAGATTTCCTCCCAGAGCTTGCACCTCTCACCCCTTCCCACACCTAAATCCCTTATTCCCACCCCAGAGCCTACACATCCTGCCTCAGCCCAGCGAGGGTATGGCTAGACTGCAGGAGTTTTTCAGGATTCCGGAGATCTCAGAAAAATTCTGCATCCAGGGATGCGTTTGTTCTTCCGCTTTTTTTAGTGGAAGAGCAAACATGCTCTTTCGGTCACCCCCTATATTCCTCTTTCCATGAGGAATAAGGGGGCTTCCAAAAGAAGGGGTTTTCCTGACATTTGGTCCAGTCTAGACAGGCCAAATGTTGGAAAAACCTCTTCCGACAGAAGAACTGGGGGAAGAAAGCAGCAGTATAAGGGTTGGGGATAGTAAGTGATGGAGAGGAGAAGAATAGAGAGGGCGGGGTTTCAAGGAAGGGGCGGGGCTATAGATCTTGGCTTGTTCTGTCATTTAAAAAGTGATCTTGGGTATAAAAAGGTTGAGACCACTGATTTAAGAGTTATCTGACCATTTGTTGTTTGCTAATTAATGGTTCTTATCTGCCTCTTGACTATCAAGCCTTTAGGTACTTCAAAACTATTTATTTTTCTATTACATTC